GATGTTAATAAGTATATATACCTATGTTGTTTAGCACTATCCACTAGCACTAATAAATCGCATTTAAAACCCCAATAAACTACCAAAACCAGACCACATAATCAAACTAACAAACTTCCATACTCAGGTCCCTTAGTTCGTCCCCCAAACCCTCTTGGCATTTTTTCAAAATTTCAAAATTTCCAAAATTCTATATAAGCAACCACTAAAACACCCCTACTGGATTGCCAAACAACTTTTTCCCCTTTTCGGAAACACATTAAATGGCTTGGCCGGGCCCGTGTGCGAAATACGCTGCAGTCGGAAAGCGCACGTAAAATCTCCAATATAAGTAAGTAAGTAAGTAAGCACTATCCATCACTTGCTTGATAAAGGTGTTAGGATCTACACCGAAACATCGCACTAATTGTAATAAAGAAGTTGTTCATCCATAGAACTCGTCTTACTTCATCACACCAACTTCTAAATGCCACTGAAAGAAGTTATCCCTAAGCAGTAGTACTCAATATGCGTATTGGGCAATTGTAAAAATCACAAACCCTAATGAGATTCACGCCGGTCACTCCAGGTGATTGTTAAGATTACAAATTCTATCTACATCCTGACAACATAGTAGTATATGTTCCTTTCCAATATCATCTTATGATTAAAGGTAAATGGTAGAGTCCCCCACAAAACTTCCCACAAAACAAAAAGTGGGGTGTGGGGAAATGGAGCATATTCCTACGTGAGATCATTACATAGGACATTAGTGGTAGTGACTGCCCTATCATAATTGTACCATCGGAAGCATAGATTTGGCGAACAAATTTAATTATATTTGCATTCACCTGGAATGACTCATATAGGCAATAATTACTACGAAAATTTCTGCAATCCACAAACAAAATCACTTGATTAATGGGCGACCTTTTTGTTCCAAAGGGCAATAACTCTCCTTTTGAAATGATATAAGCGACGGTCCAAACTGTCGCTTCCGGTCTGGTTCCCGGATCAATGTGCGCTGCGACAACTACTGACATGTAGAGACGGAGCCAAGCTAAAGAGTTACCCTGTTGCACCTTCGTTCAAAAACGGTCGTTTACAACTGAATATTTTTAACTAGCACATATTTTGTAGTGATTATTAGTTTATAATATCAACATTTGTTGAGTCTTCAACTACAAGACGAATTGTCACTGTGGAATATACCTAGGGAAAAACGTCATGAAAAGTGGTATATTGCCACGGTATTTTCTATGTCAGAAAACAGCGAGGTATTCTGTCAGTCTGGACTAACATATTGCATCGATGAAATAATGCAAACTCATTTTATTTATCAGCCTTTGTTATCTCCCACAACAATACAAGCATTCAAATCTCAACAAATACTACCATGGACTTCAATTTAATAAAATTAGTGATACGCCTACATTTGCAGCACACAGACATCTTTGACAGGCCTTTACCAATGATCTATATAGATCTAGTAAGTATACATCCGTGCCTTTACAAATATTTTAAGAAGAAATAACGTTCAAAATAATAAAACAACTGATTTTAAATGTTACTTTTTATATCAAAATTAAAGTTGCATCTGAATATTTAAATTTATATTATTTTTTTAGAAATAGGCCAAATGAACATCTACCATGCATCTTTTAAGCACTCAATTACTCAGTTGCAATATACATACCAGTCATCATACTTTGAAATAAGAGATTTACCCATATTATTCTGCCCGTTATAACATGTGTCCCACCATTAAGTGCTCCGAGTCATCACAGGTGTTAATTCATTGATCCATCATTTCTTACAGAATTCTGACACTCATGCTCTTAAAATAGTAGTAAATTACAGAGATTTGTCCCAACAAACAACAAATCATACTGACTACCCCACAAAATGAGTTGATGCATAAATAGATCTAAATAATAGTTTTATCTCTTGTTTTAGTAACATTGATTATATTTATTTTGATGTTGACAAATTATTTCCCATACAAATCCACACACTATCCAGCTGTATCTAGGTATCCTGATGTTCATTCAACAGTATTTCAAGACACCTGTAGTATAAAGTATATTTTGTCGATATTATTATCATATAGCAAATATGAATTTAGAAAGTTTATCATCAAATCTTCTGATGGTTAAATAAATGCAAATTGAATCCCACAGTCATTCCATGTAGATAAATAGATTTATTTATGTTATTTGTTTTTGCATATAACAGATTATACTTACATATCTTACAGTCAGTGTCTATAATCAGGCCAAATTTGTATTTTGACTGAAAATTTCAGTCAATATGCAATATTGACTGATTCACTCAGGCAAGGTATATTTTTTCTTAAATTTTCATTCATTTGTTATTGCCTGAAAAATAGGACCGGATTTTAGACAGACTGGCTGAAATGAATAAGACTGCATAATTTAATCTCCTCAATTTAATTTGGATCTATTTTGATCTTATCAAGATCAAAGTAACTTATGTAAGAAATTAGAAATGTTTTCACAATGAATTGATTGATTCTCCAAACCTGAAAGAATACCAGAGTCCCTTTTTTATGTTACTTATCTTTATTAGCATAATATTCAGTTCAGAAACAGATGACTGCTAAAAAGTCATCCATGTGTAATCAAATACTAGTACACATGCACAAGTGTCAAGATATTAAATAAAATAATAAGATTCATTGTGCAATGCAGATATCTTTTGGTGTGAAGAGAAAAAAGAATAACATTAATAATTTGTTTATGTTGGAATTTGAAACATCAGTTTAGAACAAGGAAACATAAAAAGCAAGGCCTAATGAAGTTAAGAAGCAGCTTAAAATGTGTCACAATCATATCATGGGTGGATACAGAGGCGGGGTGCGCACCCCCTTTGTATTTCGAAAAAAATCTTTATTTCTGTATAAATTACCACCAAAGACAATAAATAGATCTTAATTGTGCACCCCCCCTTTTCCAAAAAGCTGTATCCGCCCATGCATATGATTATTGTCAATGCAAACTGGATGTAGACACTGCATTGATAATACAATCAACATTATAGAGATTGACAATTAGTATGAATATATTGTTTTATTTTATAAAAACTGTAGTTGGTACAAATACTCTTGAATATGTATTTTAACTAATATATAGGGTCCTATGTGTCTGAATTTATATTTTTTCTACTTTGTAAAATTTTAAAAAAGGCCAAAATAATATATATCTTTCATTGATCATATTGAAATATAATCATGGTAGTATTTGGCAACAAACAGCTACCATTCATATACATAAAATCCTTTTATACAACATGCACCAATTAACCCTTAAATATCAAAACAGATTTCAGTGATTTCCATTTCTTTAATTTTGAATATTGTATCATGATATCTAGTTGATGACATAATTTTACAGTGCCTGTTACTCTTACAATTTCTTGAGAACATTTCTCATTGCTCTCTGTCATATATCTGACAAATACTTACATTGCTGTCAATATTCACATATTGCTACGGGCAACGTTGCACGAGACCTTCACATTTCGCGTACCATATCGCCTCACCGCTGTACATACTGAAATGCATGCATATGATGTAGCCTGCTTGGCGATGCTACAACATAGATATAGGAACGTATACAAAAATCTACTTAATTTTTAAAAGTGGGATATTCATACATCAAGGGCAACACTTTCAGTACCGATTGCAAAACGTCAACAAAGCGACCTGGGATGAACGATCAGCTGATCTCACAGCATTGCTTTGAACGCCTATCTAGTGGTTAACTATACAATATAATCAGTCGTGGTCATCCCTGATGTATAATTAAATCAAGGAACATTTATTTCCGGACATGGCAATAGATAAATCATTGTTTAGGCGTGACCGTTGCCGACAGAGGTGAAGGTTATACTAGTTAACTGTCTATAGGCGTCATAGTAACATGTAGTGTTCGTATCGTGCATACCACATGAGCCGTCAGTTTAAGGTTGGACCGTCCGGGTCAGCGCACCTAGCGGGTTAGTGAAGGGAAGACAAATTGAAAAAGATTGCCAATTGCAACTATTTACCAACCTGCAACAATTGTGTCAACTTGGGGCTTCCCGAAGCAATGAATGCGTATCTAAATTCACTACTGTTCTACTGTAAGCTAGTCACAATGGCCGCTCATTAACTCAAGATTAACATCTCATTGTTCTGTTTTATCTCACTATTCATTTAATCTATTTGTCAAATTCAACTGAAAACCAGTGTGCAAACCTTGTGCAACCCGTTGAGGACCAGTGCCACATGCGTGTTACATGTGTTCTCAAACTTCTAGGCAGTAATGAATTATAGTGTTGGTTCTAACAGCATTATCAAGCAAGCGATCAAACGGTGTTAGAACCTACAGAAGAAGTTACTGTACCTTTAAGCAGTAGGCCTTATTCTATGAAATCTCTGTTGTAAATTTTTTCCTCAATACTGTGCAACGAGTGTCCTGAGTGTGTCATCATTGGTCATTGCTTGCATTTGTTCAGGAAAGCACGTGGTTTCACTTTGTGATGTAGGCACACATGCATTTTGAGCCTGTTCATAACAGTGATATGACGTATTGCACTGACTATTGAGATGATCATCGATATTAACAATTGGAAAGTTAATAGTAGGGCTGGAAGGTGAAGTAGAATATAATTGCTCACCGCATGAGATGGCGACTTAGGGCACTTAAGCGGTTGTTGTCGGCATGGGTACTACAGATATGTACCCCAGGAATGTTTCTGTGTACAGAAATGTATCCAAGACAAAATCAGAAGGCCCAGGTTCGATTCCCCACAAATGTGTGAAGCCCATTTCTGGTGTCAACTGCCACCACCCCTCCACCCCCTGTGTGCTGTGTTATTGCTGGAATATTGCTATATAAAAAATCGTAAAAGCATACTCACTCACTTTCAAGTCTTGACTATGTGTATCTGTTTTGTGTAATCGTATTTTATTTTTTGTCACACTATACATGACCCTGATTGTTGGTACTCTTCTTCAGGGTAAAGGCAAAGCCCCAACATACTGGTTAGTAGGAAAAGAAGGATTTGACAAAGAATTACCAGAGCCTCCAGAGCAAGGGTAAGTTATCTGCCAACTCATTCCTTTCTCCTCTGAGAGAAGGGCTGCTTTATGTTCAGCTCTCCCGCTGAAATTGGTTTACTGAATTACACCTTTCTGAAAAATGTCGGAGACATGATAGATTCTGTATTTCCTGTATGCCCTATAGAATTATTGTGACACTGGCGATGAAGTTCACTCATCAAACTGGAACTGAGCATACAAAAGGATTGTGTATATGCTAACTTGTGTATATAATTGAAATTTAATGATACTTAATGTACATGATGTCTAAACTGGGATATCAACCACCATAAATCAAGACATTTTGGCTTAATTTACTTCAAATCAATACCATGAATTTGCAGAAATCCTTTTACACGTGACTGACAAACATAAAATCTCAAGGTCAAAAGTTTGTGTATGAAAACATATCTCAAGTATTTAAAGTTGGAAGTGATTAAATTCAACATACAAGATCTATGGTGGCTCTTTTAAAAGAACATTCTCATCGTCTCGCGAAACTTTGTCAAAACATGATATACAGTAATCTATGGTTATAACGAACTTAAAGGGACTACTTAAAGCAATCTCATTAAAATCAGACCTCAGTTCTCGCTACCCCTAAACAAAGATCTGAGGACATCCCATTACGGGTCACGTCAGAACGACCTTTCATCCGACCAATCAGAGTCGCTTACCAGATTATGAAAGTGACAGTCGGAATGTGATTTCTGATCATGATCATGCCTCGAAAACTTTAACACAGGGTGTTCAGAACGATAGTTACGGGTTTAACAACTGTATCCATACAATCTAGAACATTTATTAGCCATTCCAGAATGTTCTTTTGTTCAGGTTTCAAATTTGTAATCGAGAATTTGTCAAAATAGGTTTCGAAGCGTAGTCGCCATTTTGAAATTAGTGCCGTAAAGCACGAGAAAGCTGCCTTCTGATTGGTCATTCCATTGGTCGGTCAAAGTTCGTGCAAGGTCGGTCTGACATGACCCGTAATGGGATGTCCTCAGATCTTTGTTTAGCGGTAGCGAGAACTAAGATCTGATTTTAATGAGATTGTACTTAAAGGGACCTCTCTGCGCCATAAATTCTGTATTTTGGCTTCAGTCACACGAACCAATATTTTCAAATTTTCAACAGACGTCCTCTTCACTGTCAATTACACACACAACTAGTTGTTGCCAAGTAGCATCGTAACCACTGAAGCTATGACATAAGCAATGGCGTCAACCTCACTTTTTTCCTGTGTGTGCTAGAGTCAACACCTAATGTAATAGTGGTAACAATCTAGCACTTGGTAGTAAGTCACATTAATCTAAGATTATTCAAATAGTTTTCTACAATAACAGACAATAAGTACATATTAATAGTTGCTATTATAGTATAGCTGGTGCTTGGTGTTTGTGAGGTCAGAATGGAGTCTCCCTCTAGTCCCGGGTGCATGAAGTGTGGTTGTTCATGATCTTGAGGGGGGCACAGGTGGCCCAGTCGTCTAAGGCGCCGCGATTCGCTGTGCAGAGTTGCATCCCTTGGGCACGCCAGAAACCTATGATTGTGGGTTCGAATCCTGATTCGCCCCGATTATGTTTCTAGGTTTGTCAGCACCATACCCATGCTCGTGGGTTTCACCAAAGTGGTAAACGTCTGAGACCTGCATCACTTGGGGCTTTCCACCCACATTAAGCTGACAAGCTGTGATATAGCTGGAATACTGTTAAAAGCGGCGTTAAACCCAACTCACTCACTCACTCACTCATGATCTTTGGGGATCCTCATGATAACTGCACGAAGTGTAGAGGCGCTTCCTGCAATGAAGATAAGAGATGTGAGAAGTGCGCCAACACATCCAAAAGACCTTCACTAAGATAGCCAAGGCACTGACCAAGTAGATGCAAGAGGCTCCCAAGAAGAAAGTGGAAAACATCACAGCCGAGACATTCCACCCCAGTGTCTCCCACTCCAGCTTATTAACCATCTCCTGCACTCTCTATGAGTCTTTTTCATCAACTAGTCAAAGAACAGCAGGAGATGATGAAGAACATGTTTGAGGCTAATCTCTCTGGATGAAGAAATGGAGAGAATCAAGGAGATAGCTCTGGCAAAGAAGAATTCCCCAGTCACAAGACCATATAGGGGTATGCTATCTGTCCAATCATCACACACGACTGTAGGGCCTTCTCCAGGCGACCAGCCAGCTAAGCCATACAGCCAGCCATCTGACCAGCCAGGTATAAGGGATAGCTCTGGCAAAGAAGAATTCCCCAGACACGAGACCATATGGAGGACCATCTGTCCAATCATCACACACGACTGTTAAGACACTCTAGGTAGTCACACGGACTCCATAGGCCAGCCATCCTCAGCACGACCAACTGGATCGTCGGGGCGGGATCAGCAACCAACCGTTCCGCCGACCTAGATGATATTTACCAGCCATCCACTTAGCTGTCGAGTAAAAGCTTACAGGCTTTTCCCTACCATGATAAACGATCAGCTAAATCTTTGCTTAGGTCCCAGCAGGATACCGCAAGGCCATACTCCCCAGCTAAGTTAACACACAGACTCCACGGTAAACCTATGAACCATCCAGCCGACCGGCCTACCGTATGATCACCATCAACCGACGGTACCCAAGACAGCTTACTGTATGGGCCACGTTATACACGGGCAGCCATAACAAACTGCATGGACTTTAATCATACCGGAATCCTGGACACCAGGATGGTGAACTGCACAGAGAACACATGGATCTGGCTGTCAGGAAGCTACTAAAGAAGCAAGCCATTTGGAGACTAGCGGATACCAAAAAGACCAAGGTTTTATTCTCTGGTTTTCATAGTTCCAAAGAAGAGTACTACCGACATGAGAATGAGAATCGACCCAAAGACCCTTATCTGGGTCATAGTTCACAACATTGGACCAGTCCTAATTCTTTTCATGGGCATCAACTTGCTCCTACACTGGCAACATCACAGTTCCTACTCAGAACTCAGACACACCACTGGTTTAACGTGTGTAGAGCTTGAAACTAGTCGACTCAACATACGGGATTACAGTTTACTGCTCAGGAAGAATTACACGTCACGTGTCTAGACTGACAGTAAACAATTTTACCGTAATCAGGTCTACTGACTTAGTGGGATCTGTGCAGTATATTTGTACAGACCGACTTACATGATCACTTATGCGTAACACTACAACCACTCGACCAGATGCCTGTCGCTGTACATCATGTAGCTGATTCACAACTACAGCAATTCCTGCATGCACATTGAACGAGACACCACGATATAATAAAGAGAATGCTTATGTGAAGCCCAAGAGTTGGAAATGATTCGTACAGTACAATCTTTTAGACCAAGTAATTTTTTAGATTCAACCTGTCCTACGCATTACATTGTTGAATTCTTCCCATGACCACTCCTCCATACAGAACGGGTGCGGCTAAATGTCTACCAGGGATTTGGCATTGGTTCGCTGACAACACAGTTTTCATGTTTCGTCATGTCCCGACACAAGCAGAGAATTGACTGAAGTGGACAAGCTGACTCCATTTGTTGTCGGATGGAAGCGAGACATATTCCCGGGAAACTGAACATCCTTGCAGACAGCTTTCCCTCCAAGGGATAATAGTGGCAACAGAATCTTACATCCTCAGATGTGGATAACCACATTATGGGACACACCACACCAAGATCTATTTGTCACCTATAACAACCATCAACTCCTGTTTATGTCAGTCCAGTTCCCGTCCCAAGGGCTCACCAGATCGATGCGCTATTGATGGATTGGACGGATCTATTTGCATAAGCATTCCCACCATGGTTTCTCCTAGACAAGGTCATCCACAAGGTGGAGGAGGATTGCATGATATTCCTGATAGCACCAATCTGGCCCAGCAGAAAGGTGTTCCCCAGATTATTATGTCTACTAATGGAAAAACTTTGCCAGTTACCTCACCATTGAGATCTGTTACGACAGCCCAAGTCCAACTTTTTACATGACATCCTGTCCAGCCTACATCTAAACGCCTGGAAGTTCTCACGCAAAATGCAGATATCAGGGTACACTGTTCTTGCTTCGGAAGCTTAGGTAAGATCATGGAGACCTTCATCCTCCCTTATATATGACAACAGATGGGATAAAATCATCCAGTGGAGAAGACAACTAGGGACTATAACAAATACAATATCCATCCGTATGATAGCGATTATTTTCTACTAAATCTATGGCAGGAAAATAAGTTCCGACATGGGGGCATAGAGGGTTACAGATCTGCTCTTCACTCTGTACTGAAGGAAATCGGACACCATCCCATTCTAAACTAGACTAGACTTCTAGACTAATGAGATCCTTTCTACTAGAAGATGTTCACACACCCCGTATCTTCCCCAAGTGAAATCTTTGTACTATTGGCACTTTTAACGAAACTTACGATCCCATGGCTAAGGCTAAATTACTCCCAAATCCAGGAAAGCATCCTTCCTCCTAGCCATGGCGACAGCAGTAAGTTTCAGAACTCCCTCATGATCAACATTCGACGTCTGTCACTCTACGATTGCTCCCAGATTTTGTAGCCAAGAATCAATCTACCACAACGGGGCTGTTGGGTCATAGACACTATACCATCCCAGCATTGGGACCATTAGTAATGGGGTAATTAGCAGTGATAGTATGGAAGCCAGTACTAAGTAATAGGCAATGGACAATAGGGCAAACGAGAGGCTGGTGGTAATACTAATTACAATCAGTGCTAATTACTGTAGTGTTGGCTTCCATTGTGTATTGCTAATCACCTATCAGCGCCAACCATCTATTGTTAGTCCCACCCCTTGTGAGTCTCCACCTTTTGTTTTCTCATAATTTTGTTGTCCTTACATGTACATATATACTGAACTGCAAAAGAAACATCACCATGCATAGATATATGAGAAAACGTATTTGCCCAAACACTGTAAACATACGTTGAGACATATTAAAAAGATGAAACTTGGCAAAACTGA